TGTCGCTTTGCAAAGCGTCCGACGCCGTTTCCCTCGATACTTGTGGCGAGTTCTGAACTTTCGATTATCTGAACTGCACTTCTTCGGGCTTGCCATGACGCAAAAATGCAGAGAAACGAAGAAAAACTCGATCGCGACGTCCGAGGCTTCGCTCTTTTGCCGGAGAGATAGGAGGGGGAGGAGCGTGGAGCGCACCGCCGTCCAATGGCGGCCTCGCGCTGTGTGCCGCGATATTCAAAACGCGTGACGTACGCGTTGTTTTTCTCGTTTTTTGTTTATTCTGCGTGAAGGCACGAGACTGGCTACTAGTGGATTATGAAGGATACGGCCTTCGCAGCATGCGTGCACGATTGCAAATGGCGGCCAACGCGTCGTTTTCGCGACAGGACGACGCGAACTTCGCTGTTTTTCGCGACTTTCGCGCATTTCTCGCGTCACCGCTGCCCACTTGGAAGCATTTTTTGATAATTTCTCGTGCGAATTTCAGCTTGATATTTTCAGAAGTAATAGATTATAGTCCAAGGATGCCAATACAGCCGGAAAAAGAAAAGCGAAAATTTTGCGGAAAACCGCGACTTTTCGACTCGCGTCTCCCTTTAAGAACAAATGGACATGGGCTGCGCACGTAGCACGTAGGCAGGATAACCACTGCTCATTAAGAGTAACTGATTGGATTCCCAGTGAAGGCAAACGCAAGTAGGGGAGACAAAGTTATGTGGGCTGATGAGATTAAAAAGTTCACAGCTATAACGTGGCAACAGGAAGCACAACACAGGGTGGGTTGGCGGATCATGGCGGAGGCCTTTGCGCTGCAGTGGGCGTAGCCAGGCTGATGATGATGGTGTGAACCGGAACATATGTGACCGCCAGCGGTAATGCTGGAGCATTCGACGACACATGTATAAATGCCGACGTGCATCACTGTTTGTCAGTTGATCGGCAGCCGACGCTGTGTTTGCCACTATCAGTGCCAGTTTGTATTGCTGTAGTCAAACGTTCAGTTTTCTGGCCACAAGGTCAACAAATAAGGAGTTCCCTTTTTGACTTGCCGTCTGTTGCCTATGTTGAAATCACAATGACGTGGCAATATCAGGCTGTGAAACAGTAGGTGTATGGTTCAAACATGGCGGAACATATTGAAAGAAAAAAAATACTATGAATGTGCTTGTTGAAATGCTCTGCAATACTTCGTTTCTCGACTACTAGGCCTGGCGTACAATATGGCCAATAGGTCCCACTTTTTCCTTCAAGAACCCCCGAAATTTTTCTGGGATATGCACACATAAAGTTTGATAGAGTGTACCTTTCTTTCTCATTTGCTTCAATTGGTTTAGTGAAGGCGATAATTCTTGAATAATGTTGTGAGAAGTACCCTCTTGTCTTAAGCACCGAGTTTTTTTTCTTAAAGCTGCAAGGCTTCTTGCGTTACCCAGGGTTCTTTTTTAGCATTTTTTTTACTATAAATGAAATGATTAATGCAATGCATGGATATGTTCTTGAACTTCCGTGAAAGGTCAGTAACATCGCTACCATGAAAACTACTTACACGAAAGTCTAGATACTTTAAAATGTTTTTGTCTCTGGCACGCGAGAGATCTTTGATGCTAACCTTTTTTACATCGACTACTTGGCTACTTCACTGTTGCCAACAAGAAAAATACAGCATGTAATGACCCAAAATACTTGGTTCAACAAATACAGAATAGTCGTCAAAGGTTTTACTAGTAAAGACAAGGTCAAGCATTGTTGCTTATATGCTGTGAGTGTGTCAGTTGATTGACTGTTTATTGCAAGTTTTAGCACAAGACAATATTACCTGAGCAATTTTGCATTTGAATTCAGATCAGAGAATCCATGCTCCCATTGAATTTTTAATGCTGGATCAAAATGTTCGACAAGAAACATTTTGTCATGAGGAAATGAGGCGGTGTGTCATGCAAGAACTGTGGAAGTGAGTCAGGATTGCGGTAGATGCCGAACAGTGGTAATGGCACTTCTCAGAATGTGAGCAGTGGATCTATATTTTCTGCCTGATGCAAAAGTATGACAGGATTGTGTTCTTGTTCAAAATAGCCACATCCCTCCCCCTGAACGCCTGTCACGACGAAAAACACAGTACGAAAGCAAAAAGACGGCAGTGTTCGCAATATCCTCACGTGTTTAGTGGCCAAGCCTGCCTCTTGGGTGGTCAAGTTTGGCTATTGGAAACTTTAAGCGCACGAAAAATGACAGATGATGCCATTGAAATAAATTAAATGATCATCACAGACAACAGCGTTTGATTAGATCCAAGGTTTCAGCAGCTGCGGTGTAAGCATGTTGTAATTTCGATGAGAAACGAAACGATGGAGAGCTTGAGGAAAAAGGGGATGCGCTATGGGGATATGAAATTATTGATAAGTTGTTTTGTGGAGATATTTCATGCAACATATTGCAGTGTTATTAAATTAATGTTTTCTGTTTGTTTCTAGATATTTAAAATCATGAAGAGAATTAGTGTTGTTTCTAGACATTTAAAATCATGAAGAGAATTAGTGTAGTCATACTAACTTAGCTAAGTACCAAGCTTTAGCATTAGAAATTTGTATTAAGATGCTATTGGCCAACTCAAAGGCCATCTTGTTTTTCAGTAGATGTGTTGCCCAACCCTGGACCTAACATGGTTTCGCATTGCCTCCAGGATCGGAGGCGTTCTTGTTTACCAAGCTATGCTGTCGGTGCCAAATGAAACATGAACAGCGTTTTTCAACCATTTTGAGTTGTATAATGCATTCCATTACCCAATGAGGCATCACTGCACAATTGAAATTCACAAGCGGCAGAATACAAGACTGTGTATCTGACATGTGCTGAAAGTTTGTATGCCTTTTTTTTTTGTCTGTATTTAGGCATGATGATAGACAAGTGCCGACTTTTAATAAGGCTTTTGGCACACCCGTCATAGAAGAAATGTAGTGATTAGTGAAGGAGGAGTAGTGAACGTGCTCTTTGAAATTGATGAAAAGAATAGTGCAGGACCTGACATAATACCTAATGAATCTTCAAATAGGTACGCAGTTTGGGTCTCGAAGTATTTGAAAATTTTCCAGTTTTAAATAAGTAGTGGTTGCTTTCCCAATCCTTGAAAGATCACTAAAATTATACCAATACACAAAGCTAGTAGCACTAATGACAGTAAAAATTTCAGTTTCATCTTGTTCACGAATACTTCTTCCAGGCTTCTTGAGCATATTGTCTCCAATCATCTTTTGGCTTATTCAGATGTTCACAACCATGGTGTAAGAAAAATAACTTAGGTGTGGACACTCAGCTCAACAGCACGTTCATATAATGCTCGCCTCTTTCCTAATCTCGGCCCCCATGCCACAGTGCCCCCCACTCAACTGCAGCTGGCGCATATACTATAGAAGACAAGCTGTGTACATAGTATCTGTAGCATAGCATAGCGCACATCAGAACTCGGCGTTAGAAATATAATGTTTTTTTTTTTCCTCTTACACCATGCAGCCAATAGCCGTGTTTCCGCAGGTGGCGTTTTTCGATCGCGAGAAGCACAGTATGGGTTTCCAGCTCTAGTTGCTAGCATTCATGGTTAAAAAAAATACGAGGTGAAAAAAAAAGAAGGAATATACGAGCGTCTCTCTTGGCGTGCATGATTTCTTAAACCTTCATGTCACAGCGCCGCCCCGCAAAACCGCGGCCGGTGCATTACTAAAGGCGGACATTACCTGGACGCGCTCTTCGTCGCGGCAGGCAGAGAGAGTCCACACCTAAATTATTTTTCTTACACCATATTCACAACATAATATACCCACATTAACATGGATTTCGAAAAGGCCTACCTACTATTACTCAGCTCATTTAGTTTGTTCGTGATCTCTCCCCTGAAATTAACACGCAAGGTTGGGTTGACATAATATTTGTAGATTTTGCCTTTGATAAAGTGTTGCTTGCTAAAGTTTTGTTAAAAATAAGTGTTATCTTTAAAAAACCAAACTTAACGCAGTGGTTTTCCTCCTATTTTTTCAATCCCAAGCGCTACGTTCAAGTCCGCACAAAGAAATCTGCCCTCTTTAATGTTGCATCTGGAGACCTTTAAGGTGGCGTCTTGAGCCTGCTACTATATTTTATTTTAATCAACAATTTACACGAACATATTACAGTCCCCGTAAGATTTTTCACAGGCGATTGTGTAATGTGAGACAGTGAAATCTTCTTCTGATCAATCAGAACTAAATTTATAGACCTCCAGGAAATATTCGCTGTGATATAGACCTCTAGGAAATATTCGCTGTAACAGGTCTGGGCTGAATGCACAGCACTGTCACAGCGCAAGCTAGAAAAGTGGTCTTTAATAGCCTCATTTTAGAACTCTTTTGGGTAGCTGCTGCAAGCACACTTGCAGGGTAACCCCTATGCCACTAATCATTGTGTAATAGACAGGCATTCATTATGCCATCCTTCGTCATTCTTGGTAGAAGTGTTGTATTTGCTAAACACTTCCGAAGAATTTCGTGCAAATTTTGTGTTTCATGCAGGGGCTGATGACGATAAAGAATTATGCCTGAAGAGGGTATGCGCCACCGTTAATAGGTGATCAACAACAAGCTTTTGTAATGGGTTGGAGCATTGGACGACCCACTCGTTATGCAGTTTGCATAGTGTGACCCCTGGTTGTTCCTTTTCTGTTCCAAAACACTTTATTACTCATATTAACACGACTCTTTTCCCAAAATCGAGCCTGCCTAAGGCAAGTTTTTGACAAGTCCCAAGCACCGGTGAGGCTCAGTGGTAGAATACTGCTGACACGCAGCAGACCAGGATTCGAATCCCACTATGTCATTTGTGTTTTTATTTGAGTTTTTTTTTTCTTGTTTCTTGCGATAGTGGCTACGAAGACCTGTGGCGGCGGACAACTGTAGCGCCACGCTTGACTCGTGTTGTGATTTTGTGACAGCTTTCGCTGCAAATATGCATTCTATATACCAAGTACTCTATAGGGAATCGAAGCTCAAGTTTGCGGAGTAACGGCAACGTCGCGCCTGGCCTTGGCGGTGAGCTCCGGAAAACTTGAGGAGAAACGCCAGAGAGGTCGCAGGTGAGTCAGTGTGTTTCACTGAAAGGGGAGCGTGTGCGTCATGTGTGCCACGCATTCTGCTGTTGGTGCAGCTAACTTGGCGCGCTAAAATGAGATGCTCACTGTGTGAAGTTGCCTTTCCCCGATGGAAGAAGCGGTCCCACGGAAGCGTTGGTTAGGTCCAAAGTATTGTGTTGTGGGTTGCCACAACAATGCAAGCAACACCAAGGGACGCTCTCTGCGTGTAAAGCTGTATCAGTTTTCCAGCAAGTCGCAGCCGGCGAACACAGCCGCGTTGGCGAGAGCAAACATGACACGAGAGCGAGAAAAAAAAGAAAAAAAAAACAACGAGGCGAGCATTTCAGTTTGACTCGCTGTGGTTAAACTTCAGCTTGCTGTTTCGCGATGACGACGGTGGGTCATGCTTCCATGGCACGGAGGTCACAACTCTAAAGCTTCGGGGACATTTTAATGCCATGACTGTATAACTTTCGTTTTTATTTTTTTAGCTCGCCGCAAACATTTGCGCATGACAGTACACGGCGGCTACTGGTAGATACCACATCAAAGCAACAGTTATATGGTTTCTGTAAACGTCAACACAGCACATCGATTGAGTATGTGGCATCATGTCGGCAGAATGAGACTTACCTAGAGGCATACGTTGTACATGGTATTATCACGGAGGACCTGAGAATTGCATTTCACAGTGACTCGGGCGTGCTCGTCTTCTGTCGTCTGCTCCTCATCATAAACTTGACTAACGAGCTTTACTCCTTTTGTTTGATGTGCTTCTCAGAAGTGCTTCTCTTGCCCAGAGATCTTTATAAAGCTGCACTGCAGGTGGTACATTCTGAGGTGACTCAAACGCAGCGTGTGCTCTCTACACAAGCACGCAAGCGAGCGGCACCGCATCGGCGGGAAAGGAGAAGGCGTGATATACATCCCCAATTTCTACTTTTCTACTAAAGATGGTGCTGATTGTCCAAAGTCGCAGCGCCGTCATGCGTTGCTTTGGCTTTCTATAAATGATTATGAGCTTCACAGAGTCAAACAACAAATTTATTTGGGTTTATTGATAACTTCTGATCTACAATGGAATTTGCATGTTGTTTGTGCTAAGGCTAACAAAGCATTGTGGCGACTTCAAAAAAATCTTGACCATGCCAGGCCGGAGATCAAGTGCTTAGTGTAAAAGGCCTTAGTACCGTCAGTTATGGTTGATTGATTGATTGATATGTGGGGTTTAACGTCCCAAAACCACCATATTGTCACGATGAGTCACAAGTACTGGGGGGATTTATTGAACAACCGGGTGGCTAGCTCTAGGACGATGCGTCAGTCGGGGCTGGCTCTCGAGCAGAGAAGAACGCGATCTTCTTTTTTCCTCCAGATTTAGAGCCGCTCTTGCTGCCAACCCACTACGTGCTGGCGGCATTATCCCCCCTTCCGAAAAGAAAAAAAACAACAAGTACCAAAAAGAGGAAAGGAAAGTACATAGCAGCACCGCGATGCTACTACAATGGCACGTGAAAAAAAAAATGGAAATTCGGATGAAGTGAAAGTAAAAATTGAAGAGCCTGCCTACATAGGAAACGTCAATGAATGAGAAAGTAAGTTCACAAAATAAACAAAAAACACAAAGAACGCTGTACGGTAAAGGAAAAGTTACGAACAACGCGCAATAAATGGCTTCATGCGCAACACATGAACGACGTCCGGCATCAGCCGTGTCCTGCTCCGTGCATGGGGTGTTGAGTCCGGAACCACTTCGTAGTTCACGTCACTGACGCGGCGTAACACTTTATATGGGCCAAAGTACCGGCTCAGCAACTTTTCACTAAGGCCACGGCGGCGGACGGGCGTCCACACCCAAACTTGATCTCCGGGGCTGTAAAACACTTCTCTGTGGCGGGTATTATAGCGTCGTGCGTCTGCCTGCTGTTGCTGGCCGATGTGCAGTCGCGCGAGCTGCCGGGCTTCCTCGGCACGCTCTGCGAATTCTTCGGCGTCTGTTGCCAACTCGTCTTCGTCCTGACACGGTAGCATTGAGTCTAGCATGGTCTGCACTTCGCGGCCGTAGAGAAGCCGAAATGGCGTGAATCGCGTGGTCTCTTGCACGGCGGTATTATACGCGAAGGTCACGTAAGGCAAGATCCGGTCCCATGTTTTGTGCTGTACGTCGATGTACATTGAGATCATGTCTGCAAGGGTCTTATTCAGTCGTTCAGTAAGTCCGTTGGTTTGCGGGTGGTACGCAGTTGTCCTTCGGTGTCTGGTGTTGCTCAGTTTGAAAACTTCGTCCGTAAGCTGCGCCGTGAATGCCGTCCCTCTGTCCGTTATTACACTGGAAGGAGCACCGTGTCGTAACACGATGTGGCGCATGAAAAATTGTGCTACCTCAGAAGCCGTGGCTCGTGGGATCGCCTGGGTTTCAGCGTAGCGTGTCAAATAGTCGGTCGCGACGATCACCCATTTGTTGCTGTCCGCAGACATAGGAAAAGGCCCGAGAATGTCCATGCCGACTTGGTCGAACGGCGTGCAGGGTGCTTCAATGGGCTGAAGCAAACCAGCTGGCTTAACAGATGGTTGCTTTCGGCGCTGACATTCCCGACAGCTCTTCACGTACTTCTTGACGCTTGCCGAAAGTCCTGGCCAATAGTACCTCTCACTCACTCTGGCAAGTGTTCGTGAGTAGCCCAGATGACCGGATGTGGGTTCGTCATGGCAAGCGAAGAGGACGTCGTCTCGCATGTCTCGAGGAACCACCAGGAGGTAGGCACGGTTGTTCGAACGAGCGTTCTTCTTGTACAGCACACCATCTCGAAGGCAGAACGACGGCAACGAGCGGAATAAATGACGTGGTATGACTGTGTCCTGGCCCTTTAAATGATCGATGATCGGACGAATCTCTGCGTCATCCCGCTGCCGTTTACTCAAGTCTGATGAGCTAATGGCGCCCAGGAAGCCTTCGTCTTCCTCTGCTTCCTGACTGCCGACATGAAGGGGCGCGCGTGACAGTGTGTCAGCGTCTTCATGCTTACGGCCGGACTTATGGACGATGGTGACGTCAAATTCCTGCAGCCGCAAGCTCCACCGTGCTAGCCGTCCTGAAGGGTCGCGCAGGCTTGCCAACCAGCAGAGGGCGTGGTGGTCCGTCACTATCTTGAAGGGACGACCATAAAGGTACGGGCGGAACTTGGTGATTGCCCACACGACTGCGAGGCACTCTTTCTCCGTAGTGGAATAATTCGCCTCAGCACGCGATAGAGAGCGGCTGGCGTAGGCTATCACTCTTTCGATGTCTTCTTGACGCTGAACGAGCACTGCACCGAGCCCAATGTTACTAACGTCGGTATGGACCTCCGTGTCAGCATCATCGTCGAAATGAGCGAGAACGGGCGCTGATTGCATGCGCTGTCGCAGCTCATCAAAAGCTGCTTGTTGCTCGTTTTCCCAGACAAACGGTGTGTCGTCTCTTGTGAGACGAGTCAGAGGTTCTGCTATCTGTGAAAAGCCATGAATGAATCGGCGATAGTAGGCGCACAAACCAAGGAAGCGCCGGACGGCTTTCTTATCGACAGGAGCTGGTAATTCGGCAACAGCGGCAAGCTTGTCCGGATCGGGACGGATTCCTTCGGCGCTAACTACATGTCCAAGAAACTTTAGTTCTTTATAGCCGAAGTGGCACTTCTGTGGCTTTAGTGTGAGGTCCGCCGATCGGATAGCCTCCAGCACGCTGCGCAGGCGCTGAAGGTTGTGGGAATTGAGGCTGGCCCGCTGCCTTTAAGCGGGCTTTCCCGCCTTTTCTGCCGTTCTCATGTCCCGACATGTCTGCCCTCCGTTGCTGTCTGCCGCGCTGAGAGAGCGGAGTGACGTTTAACTCCCTCACCCGGTAGCGGATGTTGACGGTGGCGCCGCGCGCGGGGACTCCCAAGAGAGGTTTTCGCGCGCTGCGTCGGGGGCGGTCAGATACTCTCCGGGACAGCAAACGGTGAGCCACGCTATCTTTTCGTCCGTCGACTCCCGTCAGTCGGGGGCTCGTCGGACTTCGCTGACGGCGCCTCGCGCCCAAGGCGAACGCTCACCCGCTGTTTGCCCCGCTGCGTACGCACGGCCGAAGGGCGGTACGGTGTCCTAGTGCGTGGCCTCGCTACGCCGACCCGTCTCCCTTCGACGCTAACGCGAGCGCCTTTGCCCTCGCTCGAGCAACCGGGCCTTTGCTCCGGTGTCTCCGTGGATCGGCTTTACCGCGGAGACGTGCTCGTGGCACCCCTGTGTAGTACTTTGTGCCCGTGGCGTGGATAAGCCTACTTGCTTTCCCGCCGCGCCTATTTGCAACGGGCTGTACTGCGTTTGGTGTTGCCACAATAAAGTGTTGCGACTTGAGCAGTATCGTGTTTCCCGCCACGGCGACGGTTGACGCGTGCCCTGCGGCTCGCTAAGACCGGACCCACGCTGGTGGCCGTACTCCTTCGGGATACGTGTACACCACACTGGCGCCCAACGCGGTATCAAAAGCTCTAGCTTTTGATTGCTCTTAGCGAGTCCGTTCGCCTGCGCGATTCGGGCTCGTCGCAACATGGCTGCTTCGCGGGACTTTTGTCCGCTGTCCCTTTTAGCGGATGCCGCGTTGCACACGGAGGCCATTGCCTCTATGAACGGGAACCCTTCTGCACCCGTCCGTGTCGGCACCCCCTATTGCGGTGACGACACGAGGCGCCTAGCCGCTCCCTTTGGAGATGGCGCGTCGCTTCGGAATGGGCCTCTTGCCCTACCCGAACGTTACGCACAAGCGCCTCCGACTGCTAATGCGCCCTTTGGCATGCATGGCAGTTCGTCGGCACAGCGCTCGCAGTCGGTTCCCTGCGGAATTGACGGGGCCCTCGCCGACTTTTGCCCGCTATCAGCCGTGCAACCGACACTTCGACCGCACGCTGAGCAGGCGCCTGAATTGTCGATGGTAGCCGCACCAAGTGCGCCTTTGGTTCGACAACAGGCAAATCCCACAAGGAGCCTAT